GCCGTGTGTTGGACCTACAGATTGCCCCTCGGAGGCAGTTTACCTGTATATACTCAGTGTATTCGCCAGAGCTCTGTGTGTTTACATGGAGATACACATGTGGTCAGTAACCAGTTCTCACAGAGTCATTGCTTTTCTTACGAATACCAGAAAAGTGTCCTTTTTGTGAACTTGGAAGAAATTACAAAGCTTATTTAAGACCATAGAGGAGGATAAATAACACATACTTTTTTTTCTATTTTGGAATCGATGTTTACAGTAGATCATCTGAATACCAAGTGTGCTTACATCTCCGCAGGATGTCATCAGTTACCTCGTCGTTAATAACAAGGTTAATTGTTCGTACGGTTATTGTATCTAGGAACCCAGTGCCTTCTCACCAGAACGGTGTGTTGGACAGAGATGAGGCCAATTTCTCGTTTCCTGCACTTGTTTGATATATAAGAAACACTTGGGTGAGAGTGGAAGCCTGTTGATTGCACACCGATGTGTAACATTTTTTTTGCAAATAATGACGTAGTGATATTGTTATAGAAAACAGATTTTGCGTTGATGTAAACACTGCAATATTTGTTGCTATGGAAACCAGACAAGAAAATGTCTACTGCATCATAAAATACACATATTTATGCTTTAAAATGCATTCTTAGTTATCAAAGTTTGATTACGACCATGCCAACAACAGGCTGAAGGTGAAAACAAGGAGAAAAGTGACACAATATTATGATGTATAAACATACCGCCTGATATTTCGAGATTCTGCCATAAAGTGTTGACTGCATTTTAAAATCATGGAGTTTACAGAACTGATGATGGTTTTAGAAACCTTTTTCCGTTGGACTTTCACAGTATTGGGATATATTTTCCGAAGTGTTTACTGTAAGTATTCATAAAAATAATGGTAATATGTTTGTGTATATATCCGTACTAATGTGTTCAACACATGGGTGCTGTAACCCCTATTAGCCACAATGAACTCTCTGGGTCAGTGAACAGACCAGGCTCTAATGGGTTTACCTTATGTAACTCGGGGGTGAGAAGGTTAAGGATATTGTGGTTTTGATATTGGCATTCATCATTATTATTATTGCCATTTTGTATTGACATTCTTTACCAGCCTGGAAGTAATTTTGTGGATTATTTATACTATTATGGTGTAATTCCAAGTGTGGCATGTCACAATTTAAGAGTATTATAGTCACTGCCTCAGGAAAGTTGGCTTGAAAAATTAAGTCTTGTATATGCAAGTAACTTCGTGGAATTATAGAAATATTTCACCCCAGGAAAGTTTACTTGAAAAGTTAGATATATGTAAAAAGTGATGATCGATTTTCAAGATTAGAGAAGTGGTTAACATTTTTTTCATCAGATGTCTAGAATTTAACATCTGATTGATAAACCAATATTATAACAACTTGCAATGATCAAAGTCTTACTGGATACAGCATAGTAAGATCAAAGTCTTACTCGGGATACAGCATAGTAAGATCAAAGTCTTACTGGATACAGCATAGTAAGATCAAAGTCTTACTGGATACATCATAGTAAGATCAAAGTCTTGCTGGATACAGCATAGTAAGAAATGATAATTCTTCATGTTGGTTAGTTATACGTTGTAAAAATAAAAAAATGTTTTGATAGAATAAAAAATAAAAAAATAAAAATATAATAAGTCAGCTTGGTGTATTATTAAACTTGCAAAAATGTATTCATCAGAGAGTCATAGCCACAATACTGATGAAAGACAAACCAGCTTTATGACCTTTATGGTTACCAAGGGTAGTTGCCATGGTGATTAATCAAACATTTTTCCCATTCATGAAGACTGAAGGTCACCTTTACTTATCATTAGTCTCAAGGTTAAAAAACAAAACATTGTTCTGGGGTATATTCTGATAAATATGATGAACTTATTCACCCCTTCAAAGGTTGGAATGGTTCATTATGAAATTCCAGGGGTGAATGAGTTAATATTAATTGTGTTATCATTGAGAAAATGTTATTGTGATAGAAATCAATAAAGAAATCCTTTAAATCCTTAATTGGCAGACAGAAAAAAACAAATTGTAATAGAAATGATTCGGTATTATTTTGATATCTCACTTATCACTTAAGAATTGTTTGGGTACGGACTGACACTGCCATGAACCGTGTCCAACACGTACTCTGATGATACCAGAGGGTAACAACACATGACCACACGACACCGCCACAGACAGACACAGAGTGGTACGCTCCACTCGTAATCCGTCTTTATGTAGGTTAAAAACACTTTACTTTGGAGATTATTTCCACCTGCCTGTCAAGGTTGGTACTAACGTTCACGGTGATCCTTAGATGGCGTTAAGAGTATATTGACCAACTCTGAAGCATGTCGGCCATTTGTATTGTATACACGTGCACTGGTCAGCTTATTTTAGGATGAAATGTTGTCAAAGAAGGGACATTTTATTTGTGACAACCAAAAAACCCAGGTACCATATTTAAGTTTAAATGCCCCCCTGTGGGGGGTTATCTTTAGAATCGGATAAAATGATTATTTCTGGAAAAAAACTCCATCTGTAAAATTTATATTTACAAAATTGTTTCACCTTCATAAATGGTGCATTAGAGTTTTAATGACCAATTTCAGATGTTTTATCTATTAGATTTCATTAGATGTAACGCAAGCATGCAGTCAATCCCAGTACAATTTTAACAGTATAATATAAAAGTATTCTCATATACATATTGTTCTCACAGTACATGTAATGTTTGAACAATATATTAATCTACTACACGTTCTGACAACTGCTTGCATAATGGCTTATTTAAAAAAAGCCTATGAGACAGACATTGTTGTCATTAATGATTCTCTACTTGTGTTGAAACGAAGAAATGGTCATGCTTGCACAGGGGAACTCTCTATCAAAAGGAGGTGTGCTTTTGATCTGGAGAGGTTTTGAGGAGATTGTAATGGCTATCTTACTTGTCTGTTGAACATGTCTGGCTTTCTTACTTGTCTGTTGTACATGTCTGGCTTTCTTACTTGTCTGTTGAACATGTCTGGCTATGGGATCAGGGTGATACATTGACACAAGGTCTCATTCAACTTTGTGTAACATTTGACAATGAAATGTTATTACAGGCCTTACTTTACTCACTTTACAGGAATGACAAAAAATGAAGCATTTGAAATGTAACCATACGTACAGCTGATGGTTTTAAGCAGAATTTTGAGAGAAATAAATGTGTCGTGTGAAATTGATTTAATTGCTTTAGGTGTAGTTTATTCCCTTGATTGAATCAGATACTTCAATTCTAAGAGTTTTCTCCCTTGATTGTATCAGATACTTCAATTCTAAGAGTTTTCTCCCTTGACTGATTCAGATACTTCAAATCTAAGAGTTTCCTCCCTTGATTGAATCAGATACTTCAATTCTAAGAGTTTTCTCCCTTGACTGATTCAGATACTTCAATTCTAAGAATGTTCTCCCTTGACTGATTCAGATATTTCAATTTTAAGAGTTTTCTCCCTTGACTGATTCAGATACTTCAAATGTAAGAGTTTTCTCCCTTGACTGATTCAGATACTTCAAATCTAAGCCTTTCCTCCTTGACTGATTCAGATACTTCAAATCTAAGAGTTTTCTCCCTTGACTGATTCAGATACTTCAAATCTAAGAGTTTTCTCCCTTGACTGATTTGGATACTTCAAATCTAAGAGTTTAACCTAAGAGTGTTCTCCCTTGACTTATTCAGCAACTTCAAATGTAAAACAATTCTCATTTGACTGATTCAAATACTTCAAATCTAAGAGTTCTCTCCCTTGATTGATTAAGATACTTCAAATCTAAGAGTTCTCTTCCTTGATTGATTCAGATACTTCAAATCTAAGAGTTTTCTCCCTTGATTGATTCAGATACTTCAAATCTAAGAGTTTTCTCCCTTGATTGATTCAGATACTTCAGATTTGAAATATTCGGATATTTTTGTAATGATTAATTTGGATGCTTAGTCCCTGTTCTGGATTTTATAACCATACCTTGGGCCCAAAACATGTTTTTTAAATTTCTATTAGGACAATCATTGTTTACTCAAAATTAATTTTCAAAAATCAAGTTTTTAGATATTGAAAATCTTTGTAAGGGTTAAACATTTCTTTCATAGGTTAAACATTCTCCAACAGCGAAAAGTCCTCTCAAATATATAACTGAGACCTAAATCCTGTTGTTTTTTGTATACATATATTAATGATAGGGCACTTCATGGTGACACTGTGTGATAAAAGGCTGGGAGAGGCTACGTCTATAATAAGTAGTCATAACTATTTTATACTAGGTGGACATTCCTTTCTGTTTAAGTGGTGTTAGCTACCTCATAAGTCTCACCTGTAATTAACATACCTGTTCATCATCATAACATACCACACTCAACACACCTAAACAAAAACAGGTTCACTGGGGTTTCTGGGGATTATAAAACCTTGGCTACCAGCCAGTTAATTAAAAGTATGATTCCTTAAAAGAGAAAAAGAAAGAAAAAAAATCAGATATATGCATAAATATTCCATAAATTATTTAATGCAACATAATATTGATATCTTGCAAAATCATGGCAATTTTATTTTGATCCCTTTATTTTCTGTATCAATTTACAATCCCATCTTCCATTCAACCTGACCCAAACACCGATCCCAACCCCGACCCCAACCCCAACCCAAACCCGGGCCCATTCTGGCCCCTCCCCATTCTGGCCCCTCCCCATTCTGGCCCCTCCCCATTCCAGTCCATTAACCCTTATTCCTGAACGGTTTTCTATTGGAGCTTTTGGCAGTCTAAAATATAACTGTACAATTTCTGTTTAACCATATATTATTTGATTCTGTTTTAAAGTTTTCATGTAAAATATGTTGGAATGATGGACCCAATATTTCTCTAAGTTTTCTAATTTTACAGTTTTAAATTCTTATCAGAAGAAAACAAAATCCCTTAGCTAATTGTTCCATTTTGATTTTTCAGATGTTGGAAGGAAGGCTTTAGAGGACAGAGTTGAGGACAGATCAAGCTCCTCCAAAGATGAGTCTACGTCATCTGAGTATCAGTCGGCAAAATCGGTAAGTTTGTAACCTAGAACATTTGTTTACTGTTTTGGATTAAAAACTCTGTGACATGTGTCTAATAGTTCTTTTAATTCTATAAATTATCAACTGAATTTTTTTTATTCGCATAATGTTGTGAAATTGTGTGTGTTTTGAATTAATTAACACCATTTCTTTATTTTAAGGTGTGATTAAAACTGTTGACAACAGCACAGTTCTCTGCATTAACAGACACATACTATTTTCTAAGTAAAAAGATTAACTATGTCACAAAGTTCACACTTAACTCACAAAAAAGACAAAAATAAAATCTTATTGATATTCCACTAATCATTTTAAGGATCCCTGTACCACTGCAGTCAAAACACTAGAGAGTTCCAATGCATACAGTTACCTCCCCTACAAATCATTTTGGACAAAACTGTAGTTCAACTTGACCAGGATACTTGTGTTGACCAGGTAGCTCAGTTGGTTGGAGTGACAGTTTAATGGTCTGAGGTCATGGGTTCGAATCCTGGTCTAGCCCTCTTATGTTTTTACACTTGAAACAGTGTCTTTGATGAGAAAAGATAATATCAAAGTATTCCAGTTTTTAGTGCATAGTTATGTTTTTTGCAGTGATACAGGATCCTTAACCCACACAATTAACATATGTTTTTTATAATATTTTAATTTTATCAGACTATAGTAATATATCACATACACTTTTGGTATGTAACATTTTATACTATTACCCACTGTGATGTCACCTAAGGAATAATTTGATTATGTCACAATGCCACAGCAAAGATAAAAACTAATGGTGATTTCCTTCTGGATTTTCCAGTCAACAGTTTCAAAAATGTGTCAGTGTAGATGTGTTGGTTGAACGTAGGGAGGAAGAGAATCTCAAACTTGTTTCCATGTTATCAAAGTTTTGTGAAGCTTGCAATTGCTGAAGCTCTTTTTGTGACTTTAGCATGTAATAGAACCTTGTTTGAGAATATCTTAAGTTTTCACGTTAAAACATTCTAATTCGTATACTTCATTTTAAATTGTAATTTATTTGTGACAAGAAATTTCCCTTCCTGTTTTCAGCATTTCATGTAGCTGGATAAAAACAGAAAAAAACAGCTAAAACTAAATTGGATAAAAACTAAATAGAAACCAAGGAGAAATCATTGTAAAGATAATGAAAAACTTATTGAATTGACAAAAAATAAATCGAAAACGAGGAAAAGTAATCATAAAGATATGATTAATGTCTCCCTCTTTTTCCTGAAAGCCTACATGCTACCTGTTATGTTTAGTTACGATCTGATTTTATCCCTGTTTCGACCTTTCATTCACATTGACACGTTTTCCTATCTCGTGTTTGGGTTGTTGTTGTGAAATCGTTAAATAATTTGTTCGCATCATTTGTCCTCGACTCCTTGACTTTTGTAATGACTTTTCAACAATTTCCCCGTCCCCCTGCGTTGCTCTTATTTTCAATGAATTGATTCTCTGTAGAAATAAATGTGTATTCAAAATGTTTGAACAGATTTTTTGGAGAAAAAATTGAGATAATTTAATTGAGTGAAATTTTTCATCAACATTTCATTTTTCGGAATGTGCATGTGTGTGGATTATCTAAGTAAGATAACTAATAGTTATAGGTGTAACCATCATTTTCTAGAAAAGAGAAAATATTTAAAGGCAGATCAGATATATTCAGTAACTATTTTTAATGGATGGATAGTATGAATACTTACAAAATTGATCAAGACTTGTCAGTTGCTTGAATCAGATAAGTTTTAATTTCGGATCAATCAAATGGAAAATTTGCCAAAGTTTTCATTTCGGATCAATTTAAGTGAAAATTTGCCAAAGTTTGGGTTATTTAAGGACAAAATTTAAAGGGGAACAGTAATAAAAAATTGTCTCAATTACATAGGCCGTGAGAGATTTTGAAAAAGTCAACAGGATAAATTTGACCCATTATAAAAGTCCATAATCTATACAATCTGATGTAAAAAGGGGTCGGGCTTACCTGTGAGCATGGGCTTATCACTGGGAAAGCTAGGCTATAACATTGTAGATACAATACATATGTTTTTCAGTATGACTTTAATGTTGTTTATGATATGCCCCCCGTATAACAAATTGTGTGTGTTGATTTTGAGTTCTATTTTGCCCCTCCCCATTCACAGGGCGTTTCCTCGCGCTATCCCCTCCACACACCCCAGCATGGCCTTAACAGTGCACGTCCGTCTAATTCTCACACCGACGAGCATGCTCAGCCTAGGTCTTCTGTCCTCGACAAACTGCTGCCGTCACGATTCAATATACCGTCAAAGGTAAGTACTATAACGAGGTTCTCTGTATCCTCATCATGCTACGAGTGAAGATCAAACATTTCAGGTGTCCTGCAATTTCAGAAGTCGTCAAAAATTCTGTCAGTGGTCAAGATCCAAATGATTGCAGGCATAAGGAAAGAGGTTAAGGGGCAAAGGGCAAAGGTGCTAAGCGGTCAGGTCTGAAAGAGGTTTGCATGAGACTTGAATTCTTGATGGATTCTTTATGTTAATTGACATGATTTTTTTTTTTTTTTTAAATGTCATTGATTGTTGGTTGAAGGGAAAAGTATTTGAACTGATGCATACAGATATATGGCAATACGCTGTATTGCACCTGTTTGCACAAGTTCTGTTTCAGGGGTTTGTATAAGAAAATCAGAAGAATAGTTACTCCCAGCTTGAAACTTACAAAAAACATACTGCAAGTCGGGATATTTACACACAGTGCAAACTTTACAAATAAGTTTGAAATCTAATTCTTGCTTTTGAATTTTCCTGTTTTAGTGAAAATATTTTTTCGGTATTTGATTATAAGTTCATATTTTATTTTTTTATTTATTTTTTTATTCATTTTTTTACGATTTCATCTACATTTTTGGACGGATTTCTTTGATACTTAGAAGGCTAAATAATCATGATATATTGATATATTGTTGTATTTCCTTGAAAAGAATTTTGATCCGATGATTTTTGCACAAGTTATTGCCCTTTGTTCATTTCAGTAGTTGATTTTTTGTCCAGAGATTTTCTCCTACATTTTTTATGGCATGTCAGGTAACCACTCTTAGAATGATGGAGATCTTATTTCAATGTAAGAAAGTATATAACACTATATGGTATTCGACGGGTGTGTATTGGTCCGCCCACGGTACTCTTGTTAATTTATCTCATTTATCCTTATCTCCCCTGTGGAAAAGTTTTAATGCTTCAGATTGGTTTATTTGATTAATTATTTCATTGATTTATGCAAATTAGATAACTGTTTAATTTGTAAGATTCATTGAATTATAGAAATTAAATGTCATATCACGTTTTGATCAAGAGAACAGTTTGTATATACCTTTCATTGTGGTTGTCTCTTTGTAGGTATCCTCCGGAATTTCCATGTTTTCTAGTGAAAGTGATCGTTCCCGTGACAACAGTGTTACTAACAAACAAGTGGAGGATATCAACAAATCACCAAAACGAATCGCTAGACAAAAAGACTTCTCGTCCCTTCTACAAAAGTTCTCCAGCTCGGAACAGTCTAGTTCCGAGTCTGAGCCAGCCCCAGTTTCACCAAGACGTAAGTTTAGTCTACGCAGACAGGAAGCTTGTGCCGTAACAAGTAGTGATGAGTCGAACACGGAGAGGTCACGTCGTACACCTGAACGAACTCAAAGCCTCCGTGTGCGTAATAGCCCTGTACCTGAAGGGCGTGGAATATCCACAGTTCAAAGATCAGGGAGTTTTAAGTCAGATTTCATGAGGAGGCATAGTCCTAGCCCCACAGAGAGGGTTCCACTTCTTGCGGTGGCTGCTGAAAAATCTGATGATGCTTGGAATGAGCATATGGACAAACCGTCGCCAGAGTTGGCGGCCGTTCTCAGTAAGAGACAGGAAGTTGTGACGGTTCAGCAACGGGAAGGTGAACAACTAGAGAGAGAGAAAATTACTGATAAAAGTGTTGAGAAAGATTCATCAAGGAAATACGTACCTGGTGTCAGTGAAAATATTGTAGACACAGAAGTGGCAGCCATCTTGAATTCCAGGCGGAAAGAAATGGACGTCATGGCAACTGAGGTGCTAGCGCCAAGTCACATGACTCTGTCAGAGAAGTCAGTGGTTCAGCCTAGTAAGTCTGACATATCTCAAACAAAATTCATATCATCTGTACAAAGTTCAAAGGTCATATCAGGGGAGGGTTCATTATCTCAACCAAAATCTCAACAGGACATTAATAAAGTATCATCCAGGGCGATAGAAGATATCATCAAAATGGAAAGGGGATCTCCAGACGGGGAGAGTACGGTCCGAATGGATATTTCAGCCATTGATACAAGTCTTGCTGTCCTTGGCAGGGTCACAGCAGAAATGGACCATATATGTGAATCAAGTGGGGATTTACAATTTCAATCTAGTGATCAAAAACTGACCTCGTCTTTGAGTACATTACACGTGGAAAGCCCAGCTGATGTTGCTCAGTTTATCAGCTCGGTTCAGAGAGATACTGCATTACCTAGCAGTGACAAAGTGGTACCACCGCAAGAACAACCTGCCGCTAAAAAGGTCACCGCGAAGGTCATACATAGGGCAGCCATTGAAAAGTCGAAGGAGATCTCAAAGCCAATGGTGAAAGCTGTCATAGAGGGCCCCAAAAGGGAAACTACAGACGGGGATATAGAGGGGAGGCTATCTCCTTTCAGAGACCGTGTCTCATCAGCTGGAAAAAAGATTCAGCCGTCGACCTCATTTTCATTAAAAAGGACACAGTCTTTAGGTAAAGTGGATATATCTGAACAAAAACTAAGAGGAATATTAAAACGAACGCCTTCGCTGAAACAGACTTCAGGTGTAATTGTAGACGTAGAACTGGCAAGTATCCTGGAGCGGCGTCGGGCTCAGGAAGGCGACGAGGAGGATGAAGGAGACACGATGGCCATCTCTGTCACGGAGGATATCAAGGAAACCTATAGGTAAGCTTTTCCACAGGTTAAGTAGTTTCTCTTACAATTTATAATTTAATAAGGAGAGCAGAAGGGAATTTCGGGGATTTTGACTCAATCGCCGAGGTTTATCATAGTGGTAATATGATAAAGATCAAAGATAAATACATGTTTAACGGGAAATTTTCGCTCAGTCAAACTTTCGCCGGTAAAATCCATATTCACCCAGTTTCAATTTTTATATATGTTGTTTACTATAATGTCTGCTGTAATGATAAATTTGCCTTCATTACGGGTGAAAAAGGCAAAAATTAAACCGCAGCAAACATTTCCCAGTTTACAGTATTAAAAAGAGGTATAATTGCAAAAAGATGTAAGAGTGAACACAAGTTGAACTTGTATTAGGAATATAAAAAAGATAATGTCAGATTGATGGTCTGTGCTCTATACTTAGTACGAGGGAGTCTTGTCGTGTTGGTATATACACACGTTCAGTACGGATGATGTCATTGTATGAGATCACACCAGTATATAATGTCGCCTTGCCAAGACATCGAGGGCGTGTGTATAGGGGAGGTTTCGTTACTGTTAATTAGGCCCCTCTTGTCTTTGTGTTTGATATTCCTATCCAGTCTGACCTTGATCAACCCTGCAGGTTTTCCTGTAATGCTAGTTTGATATTGTATACCAGTTACTATCTATGTTTGAATTTAAATTTAAAACATTGCAGACTAAGGGAAGCAACTCTTGTTCACTTTACATATTAAACCTAAACTTCCAAATAATTGTTTGGGCTATGTAAAGAATGGTTTTCATTTCTGGAATAAGTTAAATAATACAAAATTGTGCAGTGTCGTGTACTCTGTCAATTGCTGATGAAAAAAAACTCATGGTGAAAAATTTGCAAATCTCCATCAGAAATAAGATCTACAAAAATGTAGAAAATGTCAAAAAATGTAAATTGTATTGGAATGAAAAGAAAAAAAAGGTTTTTTTTTTTTTTTACTTGTGATACTTTAATTGTTACAATCCAACACAATGTGGTTTTGGTGAGAAACCAAATCATTTTTCACAGTAAAAATATGTAAGGAAAATTATGCTGGGACAATATTTCATACCTTATAACTGAAAAAATGTGTTTTATAATTCAATTTAGATTTAAATATCAGGTAGGAGTTTTCCTGAAACAGGTGTTGAGTGATATTAAAAATTGTTGAGGAAAAAAACCCGTCTGTAAAGTTTTCTTAAAATATCACTAACTGTAAAACAGTATTTCTAGTAATGTATAGCAATTTTTTGGATGCACATTTTGCATCCTGGAAGCACCAAGAAAGGATCTACGCAAATTGCTCTATACTATAATGTGATATGTATATAGGTCTTATGTTGGGGGAGGATAGTAACGAGATTTGACAGGTGTGTACATAAACAGAGATGTTAATCACTAGAGGTGTTGGCAGGTGAAGGTCAGGACAGAATGCCTGTGTGTTGACAACAGGTCACCGACAACAGACCTAATTAACAACATGTGTTACATGTGTAAGGTAGTTTGGGATGCTGCACTCCAGCTGGCAGGTGACTGTCTATAGGTCACACATGTAAATATCCAAAAATATTGTACCAAGCTTGTACTGTGATAGTGGACATGACAGTTACCTCAGAAAGATAGTGGGGCTCACCAAGGGGAACTGGCAATTTCAGTGGGGGTCACCACAGGGAGCTGGCAATGCTAGTTGGGGCCTATTATTATGGGGGGAACTGGCAGTTCTGGGTATATGACTCCCCACATGGACTGTAAAGATCACAAGTCACAAACTTGGACGGAGGGGTGGTTATCATCCAAAGAGTCACAGTCTGGTACCAATACTAATGATTACAAATCAGGGAAAAAAAAATACTGTAAGATTATTTCATATAATTGTACTCCAGTAGTAGCAGTGTAGGGTTAAGAATACAGGTATATTCCTGATACAGTTAACACTTGTATAATTACGTATGAATAAATATTGTAAGATCCTCATATATTTGAATCTGCAGTAAACTTTCATGTAAATTACCTTGAATATAGAAATCTCACAAAATGCAAGTCATTCATTGTTACCCTCTCAGCACACAAAAGTCAGTTTTGATGCTAATTATCAAGATTTCACTGGGGGTTCAACTTTTTAATTATATGGTACAATTTCATCAAATCCTTTAGGTTTGTATTTATTATGTATAATCAGGTGATATATCAGAATGTTTCCCTCAAAGAATTATGTCTTGTACCAGCTCTGTACGCTATAGAATTAATATTACATATATTTTGTGGAAGGTATATATACTGAGTGTGAAGTCTAGATCGTATTATGTTGTATTGTCTGCTGGTCTACGAGAGATGCAGATCTTATTACATATTTTTCATATCTTTACCAAGTTGATGTACAAATTATGCAATGCCTCCTTGATTCATACTTTGTATCCTTTGAGGCATACGAAGGGGACATTATTCTTAATTTCTGTGACGCACAACAACACAGTAGATGTAACCATCTAAACTATTTATGTTTTGCCCGTCAGGTTTTGATGAATTTTCCGTCTGTTTTCACCTCATCAGCCCGTTTCTGGTTGTTGTTGTGTAGAACTGAGAACTATACATGCTCCGTGTACTAACTGTCCTTCCTTACATCAGTCACGGCCGCGACTCTGTCTGTACAATTAACATTCTGCTCCTCCAGTCCCTCTCAGGAGCCCCTCCCATCAGAATTGTAGAAACAGAATGACCAGTTGTTGTCCATCAAAATCTGTTACAGATCAACATTTCTTATACTTAATTGATATTGGGTACTGCGTAAGTCATATTGCTACAGGAAAAACATTTCTTTGACTGCTGTTTGACTCTGAAAGATTTACAGTTTAGAGTAAAACAGGTAATGCAATTTCAAATTTTTCATATTTGTTGACCAAAATTCTATTGTATAAAAAAATTAACGTGACTATATTTGAGAGAACTTTTTTTTCAAAATTTGTTTGTATTCTAAAGAAATAGTATTTTTTGTAACATCAAAGAGATCAAGGTCCTCGTTATAAATGAACCTGAACTAAATTTACTAAGGTGACCAACCTGATCATCTTCTGCTGTTCAGCTACTACACAGTTGTATCAAGTTATTAGTTTGTATAGTCATACATGAAGTCAAATTTTCAAATGAAGTATTTTGAAAACTGTCTAGAAATGTACCGCCAGAATTGTATCTACTTTATTTGAGAGGTATCATTTGGGTCCCATAACTTGTACATTTTAGTTTTTGATATACTTGGAGCGAAAAGGATTGTCGAATTCTAGTAAACTCACTGTTACGTTTCAAATTTGTGAGCAAGTACGTTAAGGTGTGAGATACTCGTATCCCTGAATCAAGTGTGCTCTATATCTCCTTAGAAAAGCTGAACAATCTCAATCTCTTTGTGATCACTGGACCCATGTGGACTGAAAGACTAAATTCATTCACTGGACATTCAGTAAGATTTGCCCTTCGATCAGTGGACATGCAAATGTTGATAGCAAAACCTCAGCACAATAAATCATGGCTTCATACTAGGAGATTAGTTCCTTATGTGAATGAAGAAGAGACCAAACCACTGGCCCCTTTGTGGTGCCCCTTTGTAAGACAGCATTATTCCCTGGATGTTTATAATTCCCCATTCGGCCCCTTTTCAAAGCCAGTTGTATTATATTCCTGTAGATGCCATGTCCCATAGGACCAGATTTGTTCCCCGGACATTTGTATTACCCATGTGGGGGCCCCTTCCTGCAAGGCTGGTTTGGCAAAAGGTGTATGATTCTCAGTTTATCAGCTGATGGAGAGATGTACATTTCAGAGCTAACATCTTCTGTTGTTGTTGCTGTGGTAAAATATAATTCCATCCTCCCAGACTGGTCCTAAGTTTTTGTATGAGGTACATAGTGTCTTTATACCAGGATTGTGCAACTTCAGGTAAAAGATGCAGGTTGTGAATGTGGGGACTTTACTAGATCAAGGTGTCAAAAAGGGTATCGTACTTAAGATAGAGTTGACTAACAGTTATGCTGATAAAGGATGACAATATTTTTGTCCCCTTTTATTTAAGATTCATTGAAATCCTGTGATGGTGTGTGATTTCCTTTACTTACAAAAATTAGTTTTCAATTTTTCCAAATCAACATTTGATTAGTTTTGACACAATTGTAAACATTTTTGTCATTTTGTCACTTCTTTAAGATGCTGTATGTATTTAACATGGTATTTTTAAGAGTTGGATAGAACAGAAATATTTTTCAACAACATGTGCATGTGGCACTGTTACTTTCTCATACACTTCATCTAGACTCCATTTCTTCTCTTGTTTTCTCTTGAGATATAAATGTATTCGTGCATATATCGCTGTCAAAATTAAAAATGAACAATTTCTCAAGGTGTAAAGTACAAGTACGCTAGGTTCAGTAAAAACAAAACAACTTTTTACATATCTTCAAGAAGTCATTGCTATCAGAATATATAAAAAACACTTAAATTTGTCTTTTTTGGCAGACGTGAACGTAAACATCGTGGAGATAGCATTGACGACGAGGAAAATGACACTACACGCCAGCCCAGAGGTGTGTCCATGGCAGAGAGGATTTATAACATGCAGACTCGTCTGGAGGAAATAAAGTCATGTCCTGTAACTCCCAAGACTAAATCTGGTACCACCACCCCAAAGTTCTCATTTAAAAGGTAAGTAACTCTGGTGTCCCTCAAAGGTACGCAACTTCTGTGTTAACTCATTCACCCCTGAAACTCCATCATGAACTATATTCCAACCTTTGAATTGGAAGAGTTCAAATGTGTCTTCAGGGGTGAATGAGTTAAATAAAAATGTTTGTCAAATACTACAGAAGGATAGGGTAAAACTTCTTGTGCAAAGTGATTTGCCTTGTAACAGTATACTGTTGGATGTTTAGTATATTTAAAGACGTATATGACCAAACACCAAAGATCTACTCACAAAGGGAGGTAATTATATACGAAAAATCCCCATAACTGGTCAGGGAACACTCTTCTGTAACTTGAACACATATATATTTATCACATCTTAAAATACCAGGATGAAATTTGAACAGGAAGTCATCAAGGAGGACTGGAATAAGGTTAACACTTTTTTTTTAAACGTGGACATGGAAGATTGTTGTCTGCTCAATTTTTGGTGGCCTGAATCGAACTTTTGATATACCAGTACAAATCCATGGTTGTTTACATATGGGTGTAGTCTGCCGACTCTAATTGAAATGAAGAGTTATTTGTATGTATGTATTCATGACAGTTCAGGATGTGCCTTGATTAAATCAAGTGTGAACCTGTCTCTCTGATAGGATCAGTAATATATACATTTCAGGAGGATTTAAGTGCAACTCTGAAAGTTTCCCGTTATGATGGGAATGATAGGACGTCCATTATAGGGAAGTTTGCTATATTTCTTAACATGCTACGATAAAGCTGCACAAAAACTCTGTTTTCCCCTCGAATTTTTTTTTTATGTTTTAATCATTTCTTAAAGAGTAATATGCTTTTAATCCTTTCATAAATTATTCATAATTATTTGGACAAATGTCGCTATAAATATTTTAAATGTTTACCACATGAAGATCTTTAGGTGCAGAAATAAATGTATTAATCCTCTGCTCCCTATATTGGATCATGGCATAGTCTAAATCATTGATTTGGACCAGTCAATTACAACCCAGGGGGTATGAAGTTTATTGAGAACAAAACAGCCATGTCTGACTAACAGTGTAATTTCCCACTGGCAATGGCAGAATATATAAAAATTATACAATGAATAGCTTAAAGACATTTACTAGCTTTGTCTGTGAACAACTTGTTTACATTTTCCTTGCACATGTTTTCCCCCTGAGATAAAAGATGGAGAGATAATGGGACCTTTATTGTATATCGTGGTATTTAAGAGGCCTGATATATTTGTAGTTGGGACTAGTTTCTCCGGCTTATCTGACTCTGTTACTAACTTTGATGTATGATAAGGATGAGTGTGGGTATATAAAATGGGTAGAAATATTCCGTGTTTACTTATTATTTATGTTATATATAGGACCAGACCCAAGGTTACTAACTTTGATGTATGATATTTAAGGATGAGTATGGGTATATAAAATGGGTAGAAATTTTCCGTGCCTGGAAGATCAGAGCATGCATTGTTAGCTTTAAAGTTTCTCTAATGAAAACTTTCTATGCAGTCAGAATATTCTTGGTCAGAATTCTTTTTTCATAAAACGAAACAGTCTCTAATTCAAAAGAAATTCTAGAGACAAATTCATGTTTATTATAAAAGTTGTTTTCAAATTCAAAACAAATGTGTATTAGTTTTTGTACAATGAGAACAAAAGACATGTTAGTTTATCACTTACAGCATTATTACCAGTACTTAAAAATAAGGAGAATATTATAAACTCATTTACCCCTGAAGACACATTTGAACTCTTCCAATTCAAATGTTGGAATAGTTCATTATGCTATTTCAGGGGTGAATGAGTTAAAGGTTATGTCTGTTGTCAAATTCTTTTGGTTTTTATGTTGCTAATATTTTTTTTAACATGAAAAAGTACACATATGTAAGGAAAGAAATAAAGTTTATTATAAAAATGTGGTTACGCTTTTTGTTTTGCTAAGATAATGACCAATATATGTAAGTATGTAAGGATACAAGCATCAAAAGTTTAAAGTAACTAATAATTTACAATAGAATTTTCATCATATTGCTCTGTTCATTGGGCAAAACTTTATTGAAACGTTCGTTAGCATAACCAGTAATTTGATTCAATTTTCAAAAATGAGATATCGGTTAAAAAAAAAAAAAAAAACATTCTAAAAGATGATAACTTAAAATTCGTAAATTTTGTACTTGAAATTTTAGATAGGAGTTTTAATACCTTTGGAGATAATTGTAGATAAAATATTTGCATTCACTTAATGCTAATCTTAAATCTGCAGGGGTTGGACGAAGAAACCCTGGAGTTGTACAAATCATAATTACAACGGCTGATATATGTTTGTTTATAATCGTAAAAGATTAATAACAAGTCTGGAGCGTTCTGTACATGGCGGCATTCGTCAGGAAGGTTGTTGGTCGTTAATACTCGTGTTTATTTGATGGCATGTGGCAACCTGTACTAGATGATCTATCTGATCTATATTTAGGGCTTCTAGTAGTGCAATACTGCGGGGCTTAACTCAAAGATTTGTTTCCCCGTAACAATTCATGATTTCAATGTCTTGAATTTTGAAATAATTAACCTTTGTTTACGGGTTATTTTACATGAAAAAGAAATGGGTCGGTCTTTTAAATATTTTTTTCCAAAAGCAATTTTTCAGAAACTGAAACTGAATATAAACTACTATGTACTTGTGAATCTGTGGAAAGTTTTATTTTAGACAGAGAAATTGAAATTTTTCTGACTGAATATTGGGACAAACAGATTTTGAGGGCTAGATGATTTATAAAGCTAAACTGTATTACAAAAATAAAACTGATGGCATGAAAGACACCTGGAAATTTGTGAATTTCTTAATCATTTAACATATTTAAGGGTATACACTACCTCACATATATATTACGCCTACAATATGAATTTGATTTCCAGGGGAGAAAGTCTCACTCCAAAGACTTCTGCAAGCTTTGACTTTTCGTCTGATCAGCCTTCCGTATCGGGGGAGCTCTTGATGGAAAAACTGAGTAGTCTGGCTGACAAAGGCAAATCTGTGACGTCAAAACGCAAACAATTCCAGGATAGCAAACGGGATGACTGGAGGCGACGCACACAGCCAGTCACTTTGGAGGAAATCCAGGAGGCTGATAGGTAGGTGCCCTGGATTCTGATTGGTCAGGTTATCCTCTGTGTTTTTGTTACGCATGTTTTTATTGGTAATCAAAGGTGTTAGTAAATGTAATAAGATATAATATTTCATGACAGAAACCGTTTTGGAAATCTTAAGTTTGTTTAAAAGTTTTGCATTACTTCATCAATAAAAGTAGTTTAGTTATCATACATTTGATAATAATTATGATTTATCAAAATGAGTTTCTTTCATGAAACAGATGTTATATCAAACTACGTTGCAAAAAAAGACCCCTCGAGTTGGAAATTGAAAATTGGAGAGAAAAAAATTGACACAAAATGGTCTGATATTAATTGACCAGTGATGGTTATAAAATCATAAACTGCTAACAAGTCATACAGTATTATATACCAATTGGGCTCAATATGTTGTCTACGGTGTGTACATCTATTTTAATCTGAATTGACGTTCAGTGACAAACCTGATCAAGGATAGCGTACGAGTTTCAGATGACACTGGAATTACTGTGGTCAGGCATGTGTTAACAATATTGTCTGGTTAAAGTTTCATCCTCTGGTGGAATAGAAATGCCCCCAGACACTAAGGCTGTTTGACAAGCTTCCGTGTGACATAGATTTGTCAGAACTCACTGACCATAAAATCAGGGTCACACACCTTATGTTAGCTGACACCCTTTACTTATCATCCCAGAAGTCTTTCAGAAATAAAACGCTGCCCAGATTTTATCAGGCGATTTTCTCCGGTATCAAAAACATGTTTTACCTCCCTCATCACATCGCTTTAAATCTTAAAATATCTGCTTTACATATGGTGTCAGTGTTGATTTAGTAATATGACTAGTTTTATTTTATTCAGCACATCTTTACAGTATTTAACAAAATAAACACCCACAAACTTAAGATTTGTAGTATTAAAAAAGCAATAACAAAAAATTAAACTAATTACCAGGTATCCATTCAACCAAGTAACATTGAAAACATTTTTTGTCACGATAAACAAATTTGAAACTATAATAGATGTTAAATGCTTCCTCTTTGTGTTGTGGGTGTGTGTATTTATGTCTGTTAAGATCTTAGCTTTGTTTGTATATATACATGGCGTTCCAATCATTTCAGCTACCTTTTTATAACTGTTGTAAACGATGTTGATTTCTTTCTAATTCTGCCTCATCATGCCCTTCAATGATTACATCATTCGAGTACATGGGTATATATCTTTCATTCTGAATGAAACATTATATTTTCGTTTTGAGTAGGAGCTATAAATAGAGCTATGACTTATATTGTCACCAGTTGCTGTGTGGTATACCTTGATTATTGTCACCAGTTGTTGTGTGGTATACCTTGATTATTGTCACCAGTTTCTGTGTGGTGTATACCTTGATTATATAGTCAGGGATGGGGTGGAGTAAAATGTTCTTGGATAAAAGTTTGATCTCTTGGAGAACTTCTAAGGGTAAGCACAGTTTTACAATTAACTCTTATGAGATATTCAAGGTTCGGTTCATGACCCTGAATGGCTCGAGTCATTTTGCTAGATTACTACACGATCTTTCTTGTATTCTGTTATTGTTTGACGTTTGGTCTGTGGAAAAGAATGATAAAAGTTATTAAAATGACTTACTTTAATTTCTAATTCAAAGTTCTGTTTCAATTAAAACAAAGTAGAATAACCAGAATTTAATGAGTCATCTGGTATAAATAGCTTTTGGAAGTTGTCAGATTTTTTTATTGAAGTTCAGAAAATATTTTTGAGATGACGTCTTTCTTTAATGTCAAAAGTCATGTACCTGAAATAGACTTCTTCTCCAAAACCCCTGAACCAATTTCAATGAAATTTTGCAGAAACCTTCCATGGCCAAAGGTCAACAAAAATAGTTGCCGGTTTGGTCCCCGGCCCCCAGGGGCCTGAGGAACGGGGCCAAAAAGGATCAAATTGACTGAAATTTCAAAAATCTTCTTCTCAAGACCCAGATATGGTAGAATCAAACACTCTTCATAGATGGAAGGGTCTTAAGGTGCTCTACCAAAATTGTGATTTTTTTTACCCTGGGGTCTCACGTTTACCCCTGGGGAGGGGGTAAACTTTACTATAGTTTATATAGGGAAATCACATTTTGGACCAACATTTGTTTAATTTTCATTGGAAGTAATTCAATTTGAGTTAGCACTATCAGTATTGGATAGCAGTTTGATGGTATGCACATATAAGCCCTGCCTGACCCCCCAGGGCTGCTGGGTGGGGCAAAAAAGGGTTGAATTGACTGAAATTTCAAAAAAAAAATCTTCTCAAAGACCCAGATATGGTAGAATCAAACACTCTTCATAGATGGAAGGGTCTTAAGGTTTATGACCCTAGGGGCTCATGTTTACCCCCTGGGGAAGGAGGGAGGGGGAGGGGGGCAAAATTTATTATGGTTTATAATGGCAAATGCTACTTTGAATATTACATGTTAATAACTTGATTTGAATTATAACCCTGAGTTGTCAGTTTGATACTTTGAAAAGTTTGAGCCAGCCCTACCCCCAAGGGCTGTAGGGTGGGGCCCAAAGGAGTCAGTGTGCTAAAATTTCTTTATTTTTTCTTGTTTAGAATCAGAGGTGCTAGTTTCAAATACTTTTTAGTTTTAAATCTGTATGCTAGATATTGAATAAGGTGGTTTTATTGTTTTTTGTCACTGAATAATATTTCTGTTCGTGTTAAAAACAAAATCAACTCTCTGTATAAATATATCAGGTGACCGTTAAGGCCCATGGGCCTCTTGTTTCAGTACTAATGGACATTTGATGAAAATCGATGAACTGAAATTATGACTCTTTCACGAATTAGAATCAGTTAATTAAAACACACAACTTTGATCAAATATGGCCGCCGTATCAAACATCAGTTCTATCAAACTCAACTTCTGACATTTCTCTGGAATTGGTTATCCATGCTTAATTTTTCATTTCATTTCTGTTTCCCCAGATGTTGCATGTTAGATGTTGTTTTTGTATGTATATATTTATTTTGTTGTTTTCTTTCTCCCTAACTGCTTACAGTTTAGAATCGGTGAGAGCATTTCGTGCCGAAGTGCTTCGTAAAGCATCAACAAATGTGTTCCAGCAACACCAAAAACCAAAATCACTTCCCACCAAAAAGACTGAGTTTCCTCATCCGTATCATCGTTTAAAACCGAAAAAGTCGAGAAAAGATCGACACAAAACACTTCCAATAACTGCAGCAGAATTGAGCGCCATTCCAGAAGGTCAAACAGGTGAACTTGTGACCTTCAGAACTAAAAAGGATAGTAACGGAAATCGGGATTCAAAAACAGATTCTGGAATTCTTTCTGACGTTGAAGTTGACTCCCAAATCTGGGACAAAATGTCGGACAGTTTACGAAGTCTCAGTTTGGAAACCGATCTGAATGAAGACGACCCAGCTAGGCTAAGTGTATCAGCGAAAGCTTCTTTGTTTAAGCAACAAATTGAAGAGAAGTCGAAGTCAGCAAGTGGGGCAAAGCGATACATTGACAGGAAGAAACGGGAAAGGTCAAGGACACAACCCGTAACAGAAGATGAGGTAAAAATAGCCGCAACCATGGGCGACGAAGGGACAGAAGGGACAGAAGAAAGGGTGGAAAAGGCAGACGGGGAGAAGAAAGATTACAAGAAAGAGGAGAAAGAAGACGATAAGGAGAAGGATGGGGGGAAACCACAAGCAGGCAATGAATCTGATGAGGGGGACGTTTCCAGGTGGGTAGACAATATATGCATGTGATAGCTGCAGGTATTTCATTGGTTGGTTTTGTTACGAATGCTTTCAGGAGCTGTACATGTTAGCTGCCATTAGCATGATTTTTTTTGTGTTTCTATGGGGTCGGTGTAGCATGTGGTTGAGGTATTGGATACAGGGAGTATGAAGTTACTAAATAGGGATGTGGCACATAGTTTGTAAGGTTTATGAAGGATGAAACTGACAAATTGTCATCAGGAAATTATGGTGAGAAAAAAACCTGGTTTGCATGTTTGATGAAATGTGAGATTACATATCACAAGAAAGAGACCAATCATTGTTGTAATCATCTAGAATTGTGAAAATGTTATGCATATTTAGGTTTAGCTTTTGCTATTTGTCAGACAGAAGTGTGACTTAGCTGTGACTGTTGATGTCAGTGTAGACTGGCTACCTGCAATTGCAGCCCCTAAGTTTTTATGAAGAATTTCCCGACTGCATTTTACTACTAGCTTTTCTCCCCCTAGTTTAGAACTTAAGAATCAGACATCCAAGTGATCAAAATTATTAGAGTTCATTTTTTCTAAATAATTAAATATTTTAGGGGGAAAGTCTAAAAGCAGTGTAGGTGTTCTTATAATTAGTATCATTTGAAATTTCACATAGTAATTTCACCTTACAAAATCAGTCTGATTTCCAAGAGAAATTGTTTTTGAACTTACATTTTGAATTTTGTGTCTGATTCTTGGTCCTCTCAGGGGCTCTGATCACTGTGAGGTCGGATAGAGGTCAGTATAAACTGGAGGTTTAAGAGGTCATTAGTATCTCTGAGGCCTTATACAGGTACCTATTAACCTGTTTGATAAATGTAACTGGCTGTTATGAGAAAGTTGACGACCCCCTATAAGTAACATTTATGTGTTGAGAAACCTTACAATTAGATTAATAGCAGTTAAATGACCTGTAACCTGTGGCATAATGAGGATGACCTCTGGCCATTTCCTGTTGACCATTAGGACATGAGTGCTAATTTAATAGGAGTTGACCATGTGTATAATTCACATTGCCATTGCAATTTTGGAACTGACTATAATACACACCCACCCACTATTTATCAACAATGTAAATAGCCACTTTTATGGAAAAGACTATTATTCAGGTACTTTTACAACCACAAAATCTCAGTTCAATTTGACCTTTGACCTCCAGTAGTTGTAGGTCATGTGACATGCAGACAGGAAAGCCCCTATCAAGTTGACCGGTGTATTGTGTGTATACAGTACATGTTGGGATGGTATGCTAGTGTATATTAGAAACTGCACAGGATTGTGTAAGTAGTGAAAGTCAGTGTTGTAAAACACAGGAAATCCATTTACCTGGATATTAATTCGCTGCACTAATGACTCGGAACAAAATGATTGCGCAGGTAATTCTACATGTATTTCTGAAAGGGAAACCTGTTCCCAGTACTGATTAGAACGGTAAACATGTGTGTATTGTTTACTCTATTCAATATCAGTGTTTTCCTCCTTATATATAGGGGACCCTTTCTAGACTAAGTCAATAGATTGCACAGCTGGATATATATCAATATAAAAAATATCATAAGCTCCTGTATGTAATACGTTGTACCAGATGGGGATATGTAGTCATGTTACAGTGTGTTTATTGACTTTTACAGATCATTATAAACGCAACAAATACTACATAAATTTATTTCTTCTCATATTTCCGTCAGATGTTACATTTTTAAGTTCATTGCAGCTGTTTCTATTTATATGGATATTGTAATGTGTTCTTTTGACTGGTCTCATCATAGTTGTTTACCCTGATATTGTGTTAATTATCTCCCCTTGTTTACCAGATTGCCCTTGGAGTAAGTAGCCTTAAACAGCTAGAACTTTATTGTTTATTAATTTTGATTGGCTGATATTACAATAATCCTCATCATAAAATGAATGTCACTAAATAAGAAAACCTATGACCTGAAATAGCTAATACTGGATTTAGAAAAGCTAGATTGATTAGAATTTAGTCACATTAAGGGAACTTGTAGATAGCTCATGAATATCTTCACTCGTTCACCCCTACATATCAAAACTGGACTGCCCCGTTTTTGATTTGGTAAGGTTCAAATGTGACTTTAGGGGTGAACGGGTCAAAGAAGAACTTTTCATCATGAGGTTGTAATTACTATATATAAAAGAAAATACTAAAAGGCAAACCAGACCTTGAATTGCATCATTGAAAATAAATAACAATATCTTCACACTCAATTTAATTTAATAATCAGTTTAGGTAAAATAGCATTGCATCATATATGTATAAGTCATAGTACTTGATCACAAGCAGTTTGTATGCAAATAGTTAGTTGGCTTGAATGAAGTGGATTTTAAATAATAATCGTAGAATACTTATGCATTTTACAATATTTGTCTATGTTGAAGAGGACTTTTAACTGTTTGAAGGTTTTTTCAAAGTTTGCATGAATTAAAGAAATTAGAGATATTTACTGAATGACATCTATTATACTAATGCTAGCAGGTTTGTATAATGTGTTCTAACTAATGAGATTGAGGAGCTGGAGCGTGTAAGATGTATAACTAGATTTTGACCTTGTGGTTTACTAACCCGATAGTTTAGATAGGAAGTCGACACTTCCTACCCATCAAAATCTAGTGTGTATTTTACGACCTTGTACGACCTTGTACGACCTTGGCTATTCCTGTTTTATACACACATTTACAAACAAAAGATGGACCATCCCTTACAGAGTTACAAATGAATATTCAACTATTCAACCTGGTATATAATCCAGCTACACTCATTTAAGACAGAAAAACGATCCATTACAGTGCCCCGTACACACTTTGAAATCAATAATGACTGCGATACTGATAGTGATTTTTTCTGAAAACAGGTGTGGATCAGGCAATACTTTCGTCAGATTTACAGACTGTGATAGAGAAAGGGTACCATGTTTAAGGCCCCTTACGCCTTTAGAAAGTATATATATGGAAATATATGTTCACCATTCATTATTCAGTTTGGGAAAACTGTTGATAAGGGATCTGTGAGGCCCCTTGTAAATATTAAGAAATTATAATACATGCAAATGTAGTAAGATTCATATTACAAAATGCAGTTGATAGGAGTTCCATTCCATGTGTTACCATGTTTATCCTTTAATACGCCCGGGGGGGGGGGGGGGGG